ATCTGTCGGGATCCAATACCACTGTCGTAATATTGCTAAAGTGTGCATCGGCCCAGTATGTGATGATGTATGATGATGTATTACAACTGATTCTACTCTGAATAGGGTGGAAAAGCTGGAAGTTGGCATGGTTCCGTTTGTGATGATGTATTATAACTGATTCAGTTATCTTTGACCTGCGTGGCAGGAGGACTGGATACTGTGTACTTCTTGGCAACTGCGTTTTCGTTAATCTACCCCCGCACCAGTAGATCCCATCTTCATCTACCCATAGTTGCAAATGGCGATGAAGCTGTTCATCGATCGCGTCTTGTTGGCTACATTTTATCAAGTAACCTCTGCTATCAGGAGATCAGTTGTTTGCAATGGTCCATTACTTGAGGTTAGCTTGTACGGCAGTTTGTCATTTCCTGCGCTTCTTCGGTCGATCTTTTTGAGAAATCGAAATACATAGGCTGTTACTCTGCGTATTCTGTTCCACGTATCGAAACGACTGATGTCAACGATTGGGGACGCTTTAGTCACTACTGACGCGATGACGTGGTGTGTTACGGCTTTCTCTTCGTCCTCTGCATCCTGTGGCGTCCATTGAGGCCAGTCTTCTGTACTTTCTTTGAGAAATGCTAGTCCAGACCACTACAGCTCATTATTCCTCAATTCGTTAGCAGAAACTCCCCTGGTGAATAAGTCTGCTGGATTGTTGTTTGTCGATACGTAACAAAACTTTGCTCCAGAATTTCTTGTCTCTTTCCACCTGTTTTCGACAAAACGCTGTTGTTCCTTCCTTTATCCAACTTAGAACACACTGTGAGTCTGACCACAGATATTGTTCTACTATTTCCAAGTGCAATTCCTTACATGCGTATTTCAACAGTCTTGTGCTGATAAGGACTGCCATGAGGTCCATCCTTGGAAATGTCAGGCCTTTTAGTGGTCGAAGGCGATTTTTATGCGTTTTTGCTGTGCAGCGCTATAGCGCTGCTACAGCCAGCAAAAACGCATATTGT